TTGTACAGGATTATTGTTGTGTTAGTCACTTCATAGGAGAACATCAGTGGCAATTTTTTAAATAATGAGATGCAGTATTGGCGTTCATTTCGTGTTTGTGCTATTAACAGCCTTTAACGAGCCACCTTATAAGCCTTTGACCACCTGGGCGACATCACAACTCGACAAACGAGGTAAGCTCATAGATGAGTCAGCCAGCTCAGACATGTCTGTAAGGTCAGGGAGGCGAACACTAAGTAAAAGTTTTAAACAGCATTAAACACAACTCTAATGCTCTTCTGTCCTCAAAGATGTTTTTTTTTTTTTTTCCTGCAGTCACAGAAGTTTCAGCTTTAAAGAGGGCCAAAAGTGCTGAAGGATGCCAACTTGTCCAAGAGAAAAAAAATGTTGGTGCAAACTTGGTACCACTATTCTTCATTGTGACTGCATCCTCTGTAGTTATAGATCCACAACATGAGTGTAGGGAAGATATTGGCAAAATACAAGTTTGAAGAATTTCCATATATTGTGGATATTTCCTTATCTCTCATATTCACTCACGCAGGGTTTTGTAAACCGTTTCTGACCAAAGAGTTGCCTATGTGGATCCTCAGCCCGTTGATAAAGTGCTCACAGCAGTCTCCTCTGTTGGTGATGATGATGGAGGTGATGATGTAGGACTCCAGCAGGTCCACTCTCCACCAGGGGTTGTTCTGTTGTGCACTATGTGAGCATGATCCATGTGGGTAGAGAGAGTCATGGTTTCCATCGATTGCATTGGAGGCAGCGGACAGTGCGTGCTCGTAGCGCATTGACTGGGTGGCTTTTCCACGCAAGGCCAAGTTTTCTGTGAATAAGACGGATGGAAAAGCATTTAGAAGATATGATCAGTGTTAAGGGTAATGCATTACAAAGACATGTAGTCACATTACATTCTTCTGTAATGCAGTAATGTAAAGCAGCATAGCCTTCTGTCAGTTCTGCTTCTCTTAGACATGCAGTTCAGGCTTGTGCTCTAAGCGTTCAATGGGCTGGTTCACCTGTTTTTTTATGGTGAAACAAAACTAAAGTAAAACTAACTAAGGAGCATCAAAGACTAATCTTGTGTTTGTGCTCCTTTTTAGGATAAAATCTGTGCTGATGTGTGAGTATACACAAAAGTTAATATTGAAGTGTAAGTGGCAATTACATGATACGTCTTAAGCGATGTTGTAGAGTAACACTAAAG